CTAGTTAATTTGATGTGAGTGATTTTAATTTGATGTGAGTGATTTTAATTTGATGTGACAGTTGTAGGCCACCGTTAAAAAACACTTATAAACGCGAGAAAACGAATCGATTTAAACGCATCCAAACACGAGCGGAGGATCTTGGTCACGTGACCCCAAAGTCTGAGCCCACTGTGTCTCAAAACTGCAAATATTGTAAGGGATAATTCATATAAAGACAAACAAAGTGAGCGTAAGTTTTGTATGGCCAAATTATAAGGTTTTTTTCCGGACGGTAAAGAGTTAAGATGTGAAAAGAAATTAAAAAAAGCAACAATAACACGCAAACGGTTGTATTTTTGACAGGAAAGAGTAGAGGACTGCAAGGCACATTAATTATCCAACACCCAGTAATGAGAGCATTTGAGAGCTTTATCCCCGTCAACAAAATTATGCTTAGTTTAGTTCGAACATTCTGCCGTCTTTGGAGGCCCATTGGTAATGACAAAGGAAACCAAGGTAGTTGAAAAACTTTGCAGGAATCTTGGCATGCGGCATTAATTTCTATAGAAGAAAAAAAATTTCTTACCGCAAGCGATATTGAATTCCATTAAAGTTAAAGCTTAAACCTCTAGTGTTTAAATTCTTCTTCTTTTGCAGATTAAGTTCTTTATCCTTTGCACCTTTTATCCCGTACCTCTATTAAACTTTGAGTCACATAATACTTGGCATGTGAATTTGTCAAGGAAGAATTGTTTCCAGTTAACATAAATAAAGACCGATAATTGTGAACGTCATTTGTGAAAGAAAGAGAGTTTTAAATGCGCCTTTGTTCAAATCGTTCATAGCTTTGTTAGCTAAGGCCCCCACAAGTTACCTCCACGGCCAAATTTTAAGTTTTTTCCACGAAGTTTTTGGAGAAGGCGAACTGTCGGGGAAAAACATGTCAGACACTTTTATCTATACTTCAAGCGAAAATTTATAGTTTGTGATTAAATGTAGCCTTAGAGTCCGTCTAAACTAAGCTGAAGAGATTTGAAATAGCTGCTTTATTTTTTTCTAGTCTGGACTGAAACGAGGCTTTTCTTCTTTTGGGACAATGGCTGCTGGTAATGCTCATTTCCAAGAAAGAAGACCGCGTTTCTGCCGCCGCGATTACACATTAATCTTCAATTTTACCCGAGTTTGTATAAACCAAATAAATCTCGTATGTTTTCCAGTGCGGGCAAAAATCGGGTCTTTATTTTATGTTT